TTTTTTAAATAAAGAAAGAAAGTATAATATAAAAAGATTTAAGATTATTTATAAAATTATTTAAATATTTTTGAAAAAAACCCTTAAACCTTTTTCATTACGAAACTATTGATTTTTTTTTTATAAAAAATTTAAGACTACTTATAAAATTATTTTATATCTTTAATACAACCTTTAAACCTTTCATTAAGGAAAGATGGATTTTCTCCGATTCCTTTACACGTATAAATTTTATAGGGAAATAATTTTAAGATAATTTTTTTTTTGTATTATTCTCTCGGTATTAAAAAATCGCATTAGATCTAACTAATCCAGAATTAAGTCGAGTTGGACCTACATGAGGAAAGCTCTCGTAACACTTATTTTTCTATTCACAAGGCTCAAATTTAAAATCTTACTTAAGGGAAACCGACCTCCTTTCACTCAAACCAATAGATTGTTGGTTTTGAAATAACTTTTTTGTACCACCTTTTGAGATAATTTTTTTATACCACCTTTTATAACAATTTTTTTATATCACATTTTAACACAACTTGACATTTCATTTAAATGATTAATTTTTTAATTTATATGAGACTTCTAATATTGAATGCATCTATTAATTTAATGACTTGTAAAAATTATATTAAAATGTAATATAAAAAAATTATTTCTATAGCACTACCCAAACTTATATTATATGAATAATGACAGGTAAAACGAAAATTTAATATAAAAATTTAACATCAATAACATTATTTATGTTATATTATTAAATTAATTAATACATACAATATCACAAATTCAAAAAAAAATTATTAAATAATATAAATCTTTCTTTTAATATTTTAAATAACATAATTTACAATATATCATTATTCTCAAATTTTGATTCTAAATTTTCGCCCCATTTATTATTATTCATATTTTATTCATATTTATAATAAGAAATATGAAAATCAAGATTTTCTGACGTTCAGAACCTTCATCACGACCGCCCGTTGAGTAAACCTTGCCGACCTATGATAAACATCCTGAAAGTCAAAACGTCCCGATATTTTCCATGCTCTCATCTATAATAGTGAAAAAAAAGTACTAACAAAGCAAATAAAGGAAAATATATTGCAGGAAAATTCTTAAAACACCATGCCAAGGCTTTTGCATTCAGGAAGACCACCCCAATAATACTTCCATTCTTGGCTGAAATGACCACTCATACAAATAAAACTAAATTACACATTTTTCCTCTTCCAATGGGGCAGAGTTGAAAGAAGAAGGGATTAGAAAAACACTAGCACAACAAGCAGTGGCTGATTGCCTTGGTTGTGAAATGATCTTGCAGTGATACGATAACAGATACAAGATGGTATGTGCCCCCACAGAACCACATTATGAAGCAAATTACTATTTCTCCGTCATGATTTTATAGATCATAGAAGTTGGCATCCCTGAATCCCAGCACAAATGTACAAGCATAGCATCTTAGATTCTGCTAAAGCTACCACCAAAGTAAGCTCTAACCTGATGGCATCTCGGTATTACTTGCACTGCTTCTGCCAAGATACTTGGACATTTTTCAGTGCTTCATGCGATAGCAACAATCATCACTTCATTTGGATGATGGACTGAGCCGCACATCATGCCAAGTACCGGAATATATTAGGATTATCCTTGTCCCTCTCAAGATAGTCTCGTGTTATCAGATCTTCAATCCGCTTTTTAATTGCCTTGAAATCAGGCTGCAAAAACAACATTTTAATCAACAACACTACCTTAAGCATGCAAGCATCTGCACCACTTACATGTCAATTGCATCATAAAGGAGGAAAACAGTACTATAAGAACCTTGAACTTGCGGCCCAACTGCTCAACACATTCCAGAACCAACTGTTGATGACCCAAAACCTTTCGGCTCTTCATTGTCCGCACTATTGAGGCATCGATGGCATACCGTCTATCCTTGTCAACATCTTCGATTACCTTCTTCTTCTCATCCACTGGGGGTAGAGGAATCTTCAAGTTGAATAGAGGGCAACATGTCAGCTAATATAAAGAGAGGGAAGGAAATAGCTGTTTAAATGGGATATAGAAAGAGGACTTTACTTTGATCCTTCGCATTTTGTTGGTGAACTTGGAGTTGAACTCAAAGTAATCAGTGGGAGCAATAGTTTTTGTGTTTGGCTCCTTGTTAAGAATTTTATACTTTAAACCTGATAATGAGTGCAGAAGCCTAACGACATCATCATCAGACAGGTTTAACTGAGTCATGATCTCTGAATAACTCAGCCTATCTGAAGAATTAAATAGCAGCAAGGCAGAGGCCTATAAACCATAAATTTTTAAGTGTTAGTAAGAAAAAAGCCAAAACCTAGAACTGCGATTATCCAACTTGATATGGATATAGATGAAATAAAGGAAACAAGATTAGAAACAAATTGTTAATACATTACCTGGTAAGTTGTGACAATTAGCTCCATCGTTTTGGGTTCGAATTTCCCAATAAGGTTACAGGTCCCCAATGAATATATCCATGTAAGTTTTCTATGCTTGGTTTTTGTTTCATAGAAATCCCTGAAAACTTCAACACACTTAACCTATGCAATAGAAATTTCAAAAGATAAAAAGAAAAGGTGTTAGTGACTCCTTCCAGGACACTTAAAACCTTGAAGTTACATGCTTGTCTAGGAGATCTAGCAGAGTTACCATTTCTGCTGGAAGGTTCAGATCAAAAGATTTGTAACTAGGCCAGAATCCCGTAGTCAGAACAGTCACACTCAAGTCAATCCCTGGATTTGCATTTGGATTATTGCTAAGATACTCCTCAAAACTCGTCTGGTTTTCTCTTGCCAATGTTAAATCTGTAACCTGAAGAAGAGGAAAGCATTGTTAAATAATAAAATTCCTAGACAAGTATCAAGAATGCTAGAAGAGAAGAAACAACTTCCAATTCAAAAAATGACAAGCTGTGGCAACTGACCATTCCCTCCATCTTTGAAGTGAACTGACCCCCACATTGCTGCTTCAGCTTTGTCAAAATACTTCTCTCATGGTCATCATTAGCACTCTTATCAAAAAGAAGCCTCCGAGCAAGCTTTTTCCTGCCAGAAAAAGTGCAACACAAATGGAATTAGATAATCATCAATAAGAGAAATCATTTCAATCCTTAGAGTAAGGCAAAACATCTACCTATAGAATTCTGCAAACAAGTCCTTGTCACTGATATAAGCAAGCAGCTTTACTACCTGGAGATTGACAATGATAAGATGAGGGACATGATAAGAGACATTAGGGTATGACAACATCCCTAGAGAAGTTAGATGAAACACTAGAACAAGAATAGCAAACCTTCTCGAGTGTTTCTTCAATTGCTTCATCACTTAGTTTTTCACTTCCTCCCTTCTTAAGAATATTATCACAAAAAGTGGCTAAAAGCTCTGCAGTTGAGCTCCCAGCAACACCCTTGTTGCAAAATACTTCAAAAGCCTCCTTGAGAGCCTAGAGGGAAGAGAAAATAATTGAACAATGAAGCAAGAGTAGGGGTGAATTAACTGTATCCAAACCATTAATTATTACAGACCTTATGAAAAAGAGAGTGATTCTGGAAACAATCATTCACGTAGGCAAGGTATTTGTCATGCAGCTCAATAACTTTTCTTACAAAAACCTAAAAATAACACAAAGAAATCAATCTCCAGCAATCAAAACAGTATACAATGCATCAGCAATTAGAAAAATGAGAGAAACTTACCTGCTCCTGCATACCAAGCACGTCCCTCTTATCAGCCTGTTAAGAGGTAAAAAAGGAACATTTCTGTATGATTAGGGGCAAGCTTAACTGGCTAAAATTATTGTAAATGAAATAATTGGTACTTTTTCATTTTTTATAAATATTAAGTCACCTTCCTATAAATTAAAAAGTGAGACTTTCTAGCAACCATTCTATGCTGTAAAGATGAGCATGTCAAGTTCAATCACTCATTGAGTAGTGTATGCAAGATGCCCAACAAAATACCTTGCATAGATCCTGAATGCTCAGGTTCATAAATAAGGGGAAAATGAACCTCCAAAATCTTACTGCCTAAGCTAATTATAATAGAGACAACTACAATACAGACCTTTTTGTTGCTTGCAGCATCCTCTGCTTGTTTAACCAATGCTGTACCTTCAGCAGTAACGTGCTGCAGGAAGGACCGTGAGAGAATTTCTTATAATGAATAGAATAAGAAAGAAATAAAGAGGCAGATAATAGATTAACACAATGATGAATGAATGTCTAAGTAAAAAAAATATATAAAAAAGATGCCATTTAAAAGAATAAATGAATAAACAGTTAAAACAGCAATAAATCTAGCACATAATGCACAAAGAAAAAATTTAACCTGTTTAAAAATGCTAGAAATGGGATCCAAGCCTCGAGGAATTTTAGAAAAGAGTCTAAACATTCTTGACAAATCCTCCACCTAAATTATAAGGAGAGCAATAATTTATTGTTAATTAGTGTAAAGATTAAGTGGAAAAACCGATATCTTAGATAAACAAGCAATGATAACCTTGTCATCTCTTAGCAATGCATGGCACCCAGAGTGTTCCTTCTCAAGAAGTTGGGTTGCATAAACAGACAACAACTCATGTTGAACTTTCTACAAAAGGGAAGGATATCATCATAACAACAACAGCAACAGCAAAAAGAGCTCAAGCTCTAATTTTTTCTTAAATGCATGCCAAGAGCACTGTGCAACCATTATTAATGATTTAAATTTTCATTAAAACAGCACAACAATATCCAAGTGCAACAATATCTCCAAAATCAGAGCTCATATCAAAAAAGCAAGGACAAACCTCAAGTAACTTTGGCTCACTGCTAGAATGCAAGTAATAAGAAACTCTATCTTTCTCCCGTTTTAGACAGTCCTCAGCCTTTATGTAAAAACAAAATGCATTAGCCATCATTTAGAAACAGAAGCTAATGAATATTTCTTCAAAGAACATAAACACAAAAAATCACACTTTCAGCATATAATCCGGACAAGAATCTTGCAGAATCCAACTTGTAGCTTTCCGTGAATAGTAGGCAGCGGTATCTTTAAGCATAGTGGCTTCAAAATCACCTTCATAGCAATACATCTGGCCCATCCCTATTTCAACAAAGATATCTAAAACATTCTTCAATAATGATCGGTCAATTTGCTCGCCCTCTCGTTCTTGATCAATCTGATTTAAGGTATCATTGTTAATGAACATTATTTGGGCATTCGAAAAGAATTTTAAGTTAGAGAAGTCAAAACACAAACTTACAAGAGAAATTACAGCATCCCTCACTTTTCCATTTAGATTTTGGTAGACCTTAAAATCAAAGAATATCATGATGAAATGACCATGCATTTTTGCAGCATAGGACAGAATACAATAGATATATCTTAATGGAAAATATAGAAGAAAATGGTGGTAGCAAGATAAAATAATTCATTCTTCACATACCAGCTCACGGAAACGGGTGAGTCCAACTTCATTAAGGGGAGGCAATGACCTCCGAGCAATGAAGTAGCGATCAAGATAATAGAAGAAACGAGAAAGCCACCTAACCATCAGTTTATGGTTGGCCCACCTTTTAACGAGTTCTCTCAACATAAATTCATCATGCTTCTCTCCTAGAGATGGCAGCACCTAACCAGGGAAAGAAAAAGAGCAAGGCATTGAAATTAAAAATAATATTGTAACTTAACCAACATTTCAAATTAAAGAGACATATCACAGGAGCATAAATTGGACTAGTGTATGTATATTTCAGTAATATGATGGTGGCTAAGCTACCATAATATGATTTCAAGAAGAAATCAATACAAGTTAACCGCTTAAGCTGGATAAGCTGCCCAAACTTTACCATAAACCCTCACCGTTGATGTGATGTATTCGTCAAAAGACTCTCTGTACTTTTCATACAACTGCTGGGAATAATCATGAGGCGGCTTTTGTGTACACATGTTATAGATAGTTCTACAAAATACAATTAAGGGAAAAAGAAATTCTCAGGACTGCATCATACCATTAAAAGAAAGATCAATCAGTATGTTTAAAATTGTAAACAAACAGAATGACACAGAATTGGATACGTGTAGAGCATTATGCGGTCCTCAGAGCTGAACTGTTGTTCCGGCAATCCTTCCAGGATATTTTTCACCTTTGTGATCCCTTTCTGCATGAATTCCCATCCTTGTTCAAGGTCAATCGTCTTCCGCTCATTCATTGTCATATTGTTGACACACCCTAATTACCATACCCAACACCAGAACCTGCACCTTACAGCTCGAAATCAGACAATCATCACCAGTTCACCAATGCAATAGCTCGATCAAACAAATTACAGAAATTTGTCTCAAAACCTAAGTCAAAACCCAACCCACAATACATTCTACTTTCCTGTTTGACACCCAGAAATCGAAAATCGTTAATCACCATTTCCCTAACAATCAAAGTTCCCATCTCCATCCTCTTTTTCCAGCAACACCACTGAGATGAGGAAACAGAATAAAATCAAAGATTTCAAACCCCTAAAAACTTAACCTTAATTAATTCAACTGGAACTCATAAAATCAAAGAAAATCAGAGAAAAGAAAAAAAAAAATTCAGAATCAGAAAATGCATAGACAAATTACAGAAATCGAAAGAACCTGAAATCGGAGCTAGAGAAGAGAAGATTGGTGATCCAACAGACCATCGATGGAGAGCAAAAATTTTGTGCGAACAGCGGTGCTCTCGGGTTTCGGATCCTGGTCATTTTCCTTTTTCGGATTATTTTATTTTTTATTTTATTCAGGAGAGCATGTTGGGAATTTATCCATTTTCCGAGGAGCACTCCCCACTTCTTGTTAATTGTGAAAACACCCCAGTGTTTTGATAATTTCTTTCAATTTTGGACAGATTGTGTCAGATCTTGGGTCTGCAGAGATGGTAGATACACACCCACTGTGTCAGTGGCAGCAAGGTTCAGGAATTTTGAAGAAACATGGTTTATAATGTTGCAAAACCAACACCCGGACATTGTTTGTCTCGTTTTTATGGGGTTGATTTTCATTACGATAAGTATATTTAGTTTGAAAAAAATGAAATAAAGATAAATGTATCTTTAATGGCTATAGAATTCTTAAGGTGTTTTTATCTTTATTATATAACTAAAGATAATAATGTTTAATTGAATTATAAAGATACCTTATATTCGATTAAAAAAAAAAAGAAAGAGAGAGGAAAAATAAATTTTTTAATCAATCAAATTATGATATTTCTAT